GCCACCTTACAGAATCTATGTACCTTCCTCCATCCGAGCTCGTTTAATCAATTGGATTCATTCTTCTAAGTTTTCTGCCCATCCAGGGATCAGTTGAAAGGTAGCCCACATCAGTCTGTGCTTTTGGTGGCCCTCCTTGCTAAAGGATGTCAAAGAGCTTGTTTTGGCCTGCGCTCGCAACAAACCCTCTCATCAACCTCCTTGTGGACTGCTTCAACCGTTACCCATCCCCAAGCGACCCTGGTCTCATATCGCCATCGACTTCATCACGGGTCTCCCCACCTCCAAAGTTATGACAACCATCCTCACCATCATTGATCGTTTTTCCAAGGCCTGTCATCTAGTCTCTTTGAGAAAACACCCCACAGCACTGCAAACAGCCCAGCGTATCGTTAAACATGTTTTTCGGCTTCATGGAATAGCTCTGGACATTCTGTCTGACCGCGGCCCGCAGTTCATCAACCAGGTATGGAGAAGTTTTTGCTTGGCTCTTGGAGCCAAGGTCTCTCTCACTTCCGGTTACCACCCCCAATCCAATGGACAAGTAGAGCGTATGAATCAAGAGTTGGAATCCAGCCTCAGATGCCTCATAGAATCAGATCCCACTAACTGGAGTCAACTCCTTCCATGGGTTGAGTATGCACATAATTCTAGTGTCTCCGCTGCCACAGGTCTATCTCCATTTGAGGCATCCATTGGTTGCTAGCTACCCCTTTTCCCGTCTGAAGAGGCAGAAATCGCCTTACCCTCCATCCAGCAACACATCCGCCGCTGCCGGACCTTCTGGAACTGGGCCAGGAGGGCCCTGGGAAGGACCTCCCAGCAGAATCAGAGGTGGGCAAATCGCAGGAGGAGGGTTGCCCCATCCAATCGCCTGGGCCAGAAGGTCTGGCTCTTCACCTTTGACATCCCCCTCAAGGCGATGTCACGCAAACTGTCACCCAAATTCATCGGACCCTACGAAAGTGCAGAACACAATCGAAGAGTCTGCAGTCCGTCTTCGTCTTCCATCCTCTCTTCATATTCACCCTACATTCCACGTCTCCCAGGTCAAGCCAGTCTCATCTAGTCCTTTGTGCCCAACCGTTGAGCCCCCTCCCCCTTTGGACATTGATGGCCACCCCGCCTACACGCATCATTAATGCTCGTCCCCGTGGGTGAGGGAGGCAATATTTGGTCGATTGGGAGGGTTACGGTCCCGAGGACCGCACTCGGGTACCTGGATCGTACATCCTAGACCCCTCCCTTATTAGGGACTTCCGCCTCTCTCAGCCCTGCAGTTCCTCTGGACCGTTGGGTGGCGGTTGTTGAGGGGGTGTACTGTCAGGACTCGTGTCTGTGTGGTTGTGTTTCTGTGCTTGTCTCCCATCCTCCACCAGGAGGCGCCTGGTTCTGGTTCGCCTCATCACACACCTGCTGATGGTTTCCTCATTAACAGAGTGTTCTTATGCAGCTGACTTCCACTACCTTGATGCCAGAGTGTTTGCCAATTTTGGGTACTTTAGCCAAGCTGAGTTTTGCTGAGTCAAACTGAGTTCTTGTCAACCTGAGTTTGAACATTGTTTGTCTTTTGCCTCTCGGCAGGAAGTCATCATGCAAACTGGATTTTTTGGACCCCAAGAGATCAATTGAGCTTCACAGTGAGAAAGGGATTCATCTCCACTAAGACCCGTTCAAGTACCGCAGGAAATCTGAGTGGCAGTCAGCTTCTCCATTTACCTACAAACAACCGCATTCTGGGTAAACCCTGTTCCGCCCTCTACCAAATCAGACAAACACTGGAACAACAGCATACAGACTGGAGTCAAAGATTCAACATCTTCTCTGGAAACATGAGTCTGCAACCAGATCCTCTTCTCCAAGTTCACAAATCAAATTTCCCACTGAGCCTGACTCGCTGTGTCTTCCCCTCACTTTTCATTTCCAGTTGAAATCTTCTCTCTGCATTATCTCTCCCTGTTTGTCTTCAGCATTTGGGTCTGAACTTTAGTAAAATCATGAAAATATTATGTTTTTGTGGAATGTCAGGGTTATTAGATGGGTGTGCAACTGCACGGGATAAGTGATGACTTCATCATTTAAAAAAACTCCGACCATGTTGTCAGGAAAGAGCTGATGTTAATATTTCTAAAACATGAATGCCGCTTTATAGAGCTAATAAACTGCAAATCTGAAATTATGATATTACTGCATATTACCTGTTGGGGTCTATCCAGGGCTTATTTTAGGGATTATGTTTTATCCATTTATAGGTATATTGTAGTCTAGTTGCTAAGTAGTAGTTTTGGAAGTTGGGTAAATCTAGTCCCTCTCTGTCTTTGGTTTTCTGTAGTGTATATAAACTGATAAGAGGGGGTTTATCCTTCCAGATGGAAGAATGTAGAGATTTAAACCAATTGGATGATGGTTCATTAGGGATCATTGAAAATAAGTAGTTAATTCTAGTTAAGATTTGAATTGAGGTTACCCTGCCTATAAGGGAGATCGGAAGCGATTTCCATCTTTCTAGGTGCTCTTCTATCTTTTTTAAAAGAGGGATTTGGTTAAGTTTTGGTAACTCAGCTAATCTAGATCACACAGTAATTCCCAAATATTTGATATTTCCTGATTGCAGTTGTAAACCTTGGGGATTCTATAGAGAGCAATTAATTGGTAGTACTATAGATTTAAACCAATTTGAGAGATGCAAGTGTTTGAGTGCTGGAGATAAAGTAGTACATCATCTACGTAAAGACTAATTTTATGCTCTATTTTCATGAATTTTATGCCTAGTAGTAGTTTGTCTGATTGTGGCAGCTAGAGGCTCAATGGCAAAAAGTTAGGGGGAGAGTGGGCATCCCTGCCTAGTGCCCCTGTGGATTTTTCCTGACACAGGCTGTTGGGAAGATTTTTAACCAATTTATAAAGAAACTGCAAAAACCGAATTTAATGTAGCGAATAAAAATTTCCAGTTAACTCTATCAAATGTTTTTTTGCGTCTAAATACAATATGTTGGATTTTATATTTTTACTGTAGGAATAATCTATTAAATTAAGCAATCTGCGTGTGTATGTGTGTAACCATGACTGCCTTCCTCCGATGAAACCAGTTGGATCAGGGTGGATGAGAAGAGCGGCTTTATATAATCGTTTTTCTAAAACTTTACAGATTATTTTAATATCCACATTAATTAAGGATATGGGACGATAGCTAGAGGGAAACAGGATATTTGGCTGGCTTAAGCAGGAGACTAATGGTGGTAGAATTCATATTAGCTGGAAATTTGCTATTTTCCAGAGTCTCCTGCAGCATTCTGCGGAACGTTGGTGCCAGAATGTTCCAGAACTCTTTATAGAACTCGGTAAGGAACCATTCTGGACCTGGCGCTATATTATCCTGAGGACTTTTAAAACCAGGTCAGAGCTCACCTGCTCAACAGTTTCTTTCCTAGACAGAGCCACCCGTTAGGTTGGTTTACTGTTACCTTCTCTAACATAGAAGTGTTTTTATGTTCCCTTTCCATGTCTGCTTCTGTCTCCTTGGACACTAGTCAGCCTGGCCAGATGGTTGCTCACACTGAATCTGGTTCTGCTGGCGATATCTTCCTGTTAAAAGGGAGTTTGTCTATCCACTGTTACTGCATACATGCTTGGTTTGAGAGATTGTTGTAGAGTCAATGATAGAGTTAAAACAAATATCTACTGTCTACTCTCAATGAATGGCTGCAACTAGCTGGTTTCCTCAGAAAGCTTTGAAGCAAACCGACTAGATTTAATTGTCTCTGTAAAATGCTTTGTTAATTGATGCCTTATAGTTGAACTAAATTTACCTGGTGTTTAATTTCATTAAACATTTATTAATTGAACTGATGAAAAAATGTATTTTAATATGTCCAGGCTTCTCTTGTTATGAACAGGAGCTGTAGGGATATGAAAAGTGGAAAACTTGCTAAGTTAGAAAAAAATGCACAAAAAAAACAACTCAATTTGATCAGAAGTGAGGTTTATTTACACATTTCTCAACATGTAACCAACTCTTGGTAGATGGCCTAAACCAGGTGTTGAAGAAAGGAGATTTATTTCAGGAACAGAATGTAAAAAGGACACAGGCTAACGGTGTGTTTTTATTAGTTTACTGGTTATGTTTGCATAGTTCTGATATAAATGAAACCAAATCTTCCACTGTTGTTGTGCTGTTTAACCTTTGTACCAATCTTGATCTACTTGAGTAGCCTGTCCTCGTTGGGCCTCCCTGCACACCTGCGGCTCGTTGGTTCATTACTGGAGGAGTACTTCAGCAGTGGGCTGTCACTACCTTGACGCCATAGGGTTTGCCAGTTTTGGGTACGCTGGCCAAGCTGAGATTAGCAGAGTCTAATGGAGCTTTGTTTCTCTGAGTCTTGTATTGTTTTTGTCTTTGCTCTTCGGCAGGAAGCCTTCCTGTCTAACTGGATACCTGACCCTTCTCCCCCTGGAAGGAATTACTGAATTCACACTGAGCAGGGGCAAACTTCCACATGATCCATTTAAGTTCCCATCGGAAATCCAAGTGACAGTCCGCTCCATTACTCCTCCGGGTCCAACTTATGTCAACATGTCCACTCTCCGAGTTCCCTCTTCTCTGGATAAACCTACACAGAATGGATTCAAGAAGTGACAAGAGCCCCCTCAAACGTAAGTCCCCTCCCCAGCACAAATCAAGCCACAGTCCCTTTTCCCACGGTCCCTGAACTGATCTCTGTGATCTCCCCTTCAGACTTTCCTGTTCCGGTTCACCAGTTCAGTGAGTTCCAGTTCCACCCTCCATTCACATTACTTCAAATAAACCTGTTAAACTTTTCTCAGTGTTCTCTGAGTGGTTTCTCTGCATCTGGGTCAGATTCCCTAAACAGATCATGACAATATTAAACAGTATATCTTACACTGTCATCAAAGGTTTCTACTCCTGAAGCTCCATTGGCTGTAATTTATCACCTTTGAACTGGAAACAGTTAAATTTCTTTAAAATATTATTCAAATCGTAAGTTCCTTAAAAATGTAGGTATTTATTGGAAAAATCAAACAAAGCAATAATAAACAGATTTCAGGCACCACTGCCAGAACTTAATCATCAGGTATGGTGAGGTAACTTCCCATCAAAACAAGATTTAAAAAACCACCAGAGGGTCTGGTTCATATGGAGGTCTTTATTGATGCACCACCAGCCTGATGCGGGTAACAGTAGAATATCTGCCCAACTAATGGCTCATCTCAGATGGACTCAGCAGAGCTTTAGAGGTTTTTCTAACCTGTGACTGATGGCAAAGTACAGCTTTAATCCGTTTATTTACTGCTGGGTGATCTTCTGTTGCAGAAGCAAATCTGTATGCAGGAGCTGTTCTCTATACCCTGCTTCATAACTACAGGGTATCTGAACTCCTGGTGCCTTTCTTTCAGCGGGTCATTGCCAGATGTGACTATTTTGCTGTGTTTTATGCAGGATAAATCTCGACCCACTTCCTGGTCATTTGGACTGCAGCTATTCCACATATGCTCCAAACTGTGTTGATACCTACTGATGCTGTTAAACATTTTTGAAAAAAACTTTAAATACAGCCTTTACATTAAATAAGAAATTTAATTAAAATCACATAGTAGTTTCATCTGGTCTCTTCCTGCTTAGCTTTATTTCACCCTGGATAGAAATTTCAGCTGTGCTGCTGCCTTCCAACTCCTTCAGTAATAGATAAGAAAGTTGGGCCTGTTTTTCAGTGCTTAATCCTGTTTCTCTCCTTGACATAGCTATGGGTTCGGCTTTTACTGTGACTAATTGGATGTGCTCTCTTTCCATCCTTTTTGGCATGAACACTGACTCAGAGCTTGTCTGCTTAACTGTTTCTCTCCCACACATAACTACCAGTAGAGCTAGTTTAGTTTGCTGCTATAGGGTTAAACTGCTGGAGGACATAGGAGCCATTTTACATCATTCTGCTTCATTCAATCTCTATTCTCCAACTTTGCAATATTATTTACCTTGTCTAACTTTATGCTCTCCCTGCTTTTTCTCATAATAGCTTCATCTGGTCTGTTTCTGTTTGGCTGTGACACCATCCTGAGGAGAAATATCAGGTATGCTGCTGCCATCAACTCCTTTAGTAATATATAAGAAAGTTGGGCCTGTTTTTCAGTGCTTAGTTCTGTTTTCTCCTAGACATAAATATGGGCTCAGCTTTTACTGGGAATAACTGGACGTGCTCTCTTTCATCCCTTTGACAAAAAAAAAAAATTGACTCAGAACTTAGCTCATTAACAGTTTCTTTCCCAGACATAGCCACCTGGGGAGCTAGTTTATGTTACCTTTTCTAACGTAGAAAATATTTATAGATCAGTGCTTCTCTGTTCATTTTGCATGTTTGCTTCTGTCTTCTTGAACCCCAGTTGGCCTCGGCAGATGGCCGGTCACACGGAGTCTGGTTCTTTTGGATGTTCTTCGTGTTAAAATGTGAGTTTTTCCCTCTCTGCTGTTGTTGCATGCTCATTGTGAGGGATTGCTGTAGCATCGACGGTACATTGCAAGTGAATATCTGCAACTGAAACTGTCTCTACCTGCTCATGCAGGAAGAGGGAATCCTAGAAATTCCTTAGACAGGAAAGTTCTAGCCAAACTGCCTGGATGATTTCAATAAATTTCTCTGAAGTGAGCTGAGATGACATGTGTTGTGAATTGGTGCTACAGAAATAAATTGACCTGAATTGAAAGTGACTAAAAATATTAAGAAGGGAAAAACCAGCTGGTCTGCTGTGAACCGTCAGTCCAGCAGTATTTAGTAAGGAGACGCCTCTGCAGGAGAAACCTGACTTGATGCTGCACTAAAATGCCCAAATGTCTGCACCATCACAAAACTGACACTACAAGAAAAGATTCTTATTGGTTAAAAATCAGTTGTTTCCAGGATTTGTAGCTCATGGCGTTCTCTGTTGGAATGCTGAAGACCAAACCGGTTCTCCCAATCAGACTGTGTTTATGTGGACTAGACGGGGGTGTTGGTGTGAGCATCTCTATGGTTAATCCATCATTAACTTCTTCACTCAGTCAGATTTCATCCACCTGCTAACTGAAGACACGTCCCTTGTCTCCTCAGCTTCACTTCGTCTTCATCACCTTCCCTCCCCCTAAATGCTCCACCTCTTGCGACTCTTTAACGACTCTACTTCTTGTTGTCGTTTTGGATTATTTGTTCATAAGGTGGCGGAGGGTGATTGCAATAAGATGGAGGTGGCGGGTAGGACCACATCATCACGTGGGTGGAGCCCGGCTCGGAAGGTTGGGTCATTGTGATCCCAGGATCTCCTCCAGCCATGCCGTTCATCCTGAAGCCCTGCATACTGCCTGGCTGCTGGGAAACTGCAAACACAGATGGCAGAGGCTCATTAAAGGTGGCATGACTCGAAGACAGAGCCAGTCATTTTCCAACAAACCTTTCATCTTTGTCCTGCTATCATTTAAAAGTCGAACATATGAATAAATAATGCCTTTAACACTACGGAGGGTTAACCTGTTGTAAAATATAATAATTTTCTTCCAACTCTGAAGAAAATCATGTAGAGCTGGCTCTCCCATCTGGGTCATATCCATTTTATCACACCACTTCTGAAGGTTGAACAAATTCAGAGAAAAAATGACTTTAACAAGTAAGAAATGAACTAAAAACTAAAAGTGCAGATAAGTGAGCCGCTTAGTCTGGACTCACTGCGTCACATCAGCCCTTCCTGTTTAGAGGAAACTGGCAATTTTTCACAGTGTAGGGACAGGGTGTGTTAGGTATGGGCTTCCTGGAGGAAGCATTTTAACACAGATGTTCAACATCTGCTAGTTTTCACAGGACAGGGAGGGGCTTTGGATCAGAGACGAAAAAGTCCAGTCAGTTAACACCTTGTGTGATTTTGATGAAGGGATGGCATTAGAAGTTAGTAAAAAGGTCAAAAACAATTTCACTTGAATGGTTACCTGTGGAGATACAGTAGCAGCCATTCAAATGGCCCTTCCTAGTCAACGCCAGCCGAAAGGCAGCCCATTTCTCTGCAACTCCCAGCAAAATCCCCTCCAACCTCCTGCCACTGGAGTGACCCCCTCCTTTTACTGGGCGTGCATATTTTTCTACTCTGATTCCACCCTTTCACTGAATTACAGGGAGATGGTGCTTATTTTGCCTTACTACAGTGTTTCAATAAAATAGAAATAAAAGCTAAAGTTTTGACTTCTGCTCTTGTCTTTCAAAATAAAAGTTTACCATTTTATGTTGTGGGAAAAAAAGCTTAATCTTTCACTTAAGGGTGGAGCTGCTAGCTTTATCATCTGAAACTAATATTAGAAGTTTTAAAAGATTAACCATTAATTATGTTAAGCATTAATAATGCTTTGGGCAGCAGAAGCAGCTAAGTGTATGTTGATGCGCATCAAAAGGTCCTGCAGCGTGTCCAGAGCAGCATAAGACGCACAACACACTTCACAAGCAGCAGATGCTAGAATTGGAAAAACTCAACTGTGGCATGCCACATCATCCAATAAGAGATGCAGATCTGGGAGCAGGCAGGGAGAGAGACACAGCACTGCTGATGCAAAGTGCTCTGATTAGTCCTTAGAAAAAGTTTATTAACGCCTAAATTAACTTAAAATGTCGAAACCTGACAGCAAAATATGCAGGAAAAACGCTAACATCATCTAACATCTACTTCCGGGTTGCCAGGAAAAGTAGAGGGAAATCCAAAGAGGTAAACCGGCCTGAGACAGCTGCTGCTGGGGATTCCCATTGACAGAGCACCACTGGTATTTAGGAGTCTGAGCGGCTCTGACAGCGAAATAGTATTTTAAGGCAGAATTGTAATCTTGATGAACTGACTGATGTTTTGAGGTGGACTTTTTCACTTTAAAACATTATAAAACTACTTTTTACCCACTGATCAACACAAATATAGCAAGCCGCTCTCTGCTATTGAACACAGGAGCAGAGAAAGCAGCAGGCGCCTCTGGATACACTTCAATGGACGTGCCTCAGGAGTGTCAAAAATGAGGTGCATCAGACGTTAAATGTACAAGCATCAAAAATGAGACAGCAGAAGCTTTTTTGCTGCTGAAATCACGGTGTAAACATAGCATAAGGCTCTTATTTGTGTCAGACAGGAGCAGTTTCATAAGATGAGTAGTATTTCCTTTTGTTAAAGATGTAAGGAATTATGTTTTTAATAGCAGTAATTATCGGAGAAACGGTGATTGACAGTGACTCAGTCATTTTCCACCTGCTCTACCTGGCGTGGTGACAGGATGCCTGGTGAAGGAGACGTTGAAGTTGGGCTCATCTCTCAGAGACGAGGGGTACATCCTCCTGCGGATGAAGAAGCCTGCGCCGCAACAGAACAGCACCCCCATCATGAGCAGAACCCTAAGAGAAAAACAAAACGGGTGACATCTGTTGGAGAATCCAGACTAAATGGGACCGAATGGTTTCAATGCCATCCCGTCCCTGCTTGCATCGTCCAGAGCTTTTAACATTTTTAAGTCAATTTTTTTACTATAATGCTCACCTTTCCTTTGTTGGTAAAAGAAGCTAACATTTAGTAAAAAGGTGTATATATATATATATATATATATATATATATTTTTTTTTTTTTTTTTTTTTTTTTGTGGCAGCGCTTTGAAACATACATACATCCTATCTAAATATTCTATTACTCTTAACCCCACTAAGAATCTTTCAATGAATTGAATAGTTTTTCAGCAAAAAAATAAATAAAAATTTAAAAATTAGTTTAATATTCAGCAAGTTAAAGTTTATTAGGCCCGAGCAGCGAAGGCCTATTGTAATTGCAATGTTTATTATTATTCTCCTAAATTAATTGCTTATTTGGAGGCTTTATCATACTGGAAAACTCACCAAACTTGACGGAAAATTGTCCCCCGCGTGAAATTTACGTATATTAATATAATCAGAAATGGGCGCCCCCAAACGCCTCAACAGCGCCCCCTAGAATGAGATAGGGAATACCGTACGTCACAGAGATTTGAAATTTGGTACATAGGTAGATCTCCTCAAATCATGAAAAAAAGTCTCTTGGAGGTATGCCCTAAAACCCACAGGAAGTCGGCCATTTTGGGTCAAAGTTCAATTTGTCCAATTTTCATTTTTGTTCACGTCGAACTTTTGCAAACTCCTCCCAGGGATAATGAGCTATCGGAGTCAAACTTGGTGTGTTGATAGTAAAGACCTGTGAGATTAAAAGTTATCAGAAATCCTGAGTTTTCATGAATGCTGACAGGGTCCCCTGGGGCCTCGAAGTTAGGGTACTTTTCAAGAATTTCAAAATGGAATAACTTTTACAAAAAAAAATCAAATCGAACCAAGTTTGGCAGTAATGAGCCCCTTTGGGTGCTTGACGATACTGGATGGTCACATGATGACATCATCAAAGCCCCGCCCCCTGAGGGAAGAAAGTCACTTTTTTCACTTGGGAGGGTCCCTTTCAGTCATTTTAAACATCAGTACCTTGAAACTAAATCGGAAGGCAGAAAACACGTTGGTCTAACTTCTTTTAAAGCTCAGAGTGTGTGAGTTAAATGGCGTTGCCATGGTGATCTGGCAAAATCATACTTTTGCCTCTCATCTTCTCATAGATCCTTCAATCTGCACCAAAGTCACTATGATGGAACGTGGTCTAAGCCCACACAAGAATCTAGGCCAATAATTGGTGGGCGTGGCTTAATTTCTCCACAGCGCCCCCTAGAAACACTAAAACCCTCAGCCCCAGGCCATGCTTTAACTTAGGATTATGAAAGTTGACACACATATGTAACCCACCAGGACCTACAAAAAAGCCTCTTGGAGCCATGGTCTAAACCCCACCGGAAGTCCGCCATTTTGGATTGAAGTTCACATTTTCACTGTAATTTTGCACTTTATAGCCTCTATATTTGAATGAACTCCTCCTACAGCTTTTGAGTTACAGACTTCATATTTACTGTACAGTGACTTGAGGCATTGGGGATCAAAAGTTATCAAAGGAATTTTTCTACATCAAAGCATGTGGGCGTGGCCAAGCGTCAAACTTGGTCATTAGCAAGTGAAACAAAGGGTAAGCCCCATGCCATATTATGACAGAGAGTTCTGAATCTTGGACCACTTATGTAATCCCTCAGGACCTACAAAAAAGCCTCTTGGAGCCATGGTCCAAACCCCACATTTTGAATCAAAGCCATCACTTTGCTTTTTTACCTTCATGACCCATTTGAGCGAACTCCTCCTAGAGCTTTTGAGTTACAGACATCAAACTTACTCCACCTTGAGCTGAGGTACAGGGGATCAAAAGTTATCAAAGGAATTTTTCTACATCAAAGCATGTGGGCGTTGCCAACCGTCAAATGTGGTCCCTTTGCTATTAAACACAATGCACACCACAGGCCATTTCTTAAATGACAGTTATGAAATTTGGTACACATGTGGAACCCATCCGGTCCTACAAAAAGATGTATTGGAGCCATGGTCTAAACCCCACAGGAAGTCCGCCATTTTGAATCAAAGTCATCATTAGCTTTTTTGCCTTTATATTGTATGTTAGCTAACTCCTCCTTGAGCTGCTGAGCTACAAACTTCTAACTTGCTGAGCCTAGACTTAAGAAATAATGGATCAAAAATTATCAAAAGATTTTTGCCTGTGACAAAGCATGTGGGCGTGGCCATACATCAAAATCTGAATTCTCGCCATTACAGAATGACTAAACTGCCTCAGGCTCTGCTTTTATTGAGGGTTATTAAATTTTGCTACACATGTACAACCCAACAGGACGCACAAAAAAGTCAATTTTTTCCTTTGTTTCATCTTGGAAAGGCTTTTATCACAGACAGATTTAACAATATCAGTTTAGCCATGCCCCTAGCGTTCAGGATGTCCAACATTTTACTTTTCGTAGCCTTTGTTTTGTTCTGCTCGATATATAATGGCAAGAACTGTTTTCAGGAAGGTCGAAATAACGGCATATATGTGTAAACGTGGGGATGGCGGTGGCTTGGCTTCCGCGGTCCCAGTAGGCTGAGCGGCGCAGAGCTGCGAGGGCCGCCCATTGTCGCTTGCGGCTTTAATTAAAATTGGTTCTGCTAAACACATTACCCTAAGCAGAGCTGTCAACCGCCACAAGGTGGCGCCACCAGATCATGTCAGCGCCCATAGACCAACTGAATGATGTGGGTTGAAAGGGGATATCAGGCCTATTGCTAGTGTTCTTTATAAGTGATTGTTATCGATTGTCAGTGATCAGCTGCTTATAAAATAAAACTAATCTAAAATAATCTGTCCTTTGTAGTCCCATGTAATACATTTATGATGTGTCTCACAGTTCTGTTACAGTATAGCTATTAATAACAATTGATCTAAATTATTACTACAAGCTTTCTCAAATTAATTGTATTAATAAGACAACATGTTACAACACAAAAGTATTAAACTATCAGCCAAGCATTGCCAAATGCAGCATATATATATTTCATTTTGTGGATTGTTTTGCATCTTATTTCTATAACGTCCATCAGCGTTACATTCATACCCTCCATCTAAAAAGCATGTAAAGCCAATTAGGAGGAACCAAATCTGCCACTGATTAATGGTTTGGGTTTCTATTTATGTACATTTTTAGTAAATGGGTGGGGAGGCCAGAAAGGTGCGTTTTTATTTACAAAACTTAGATCCAACCACCTGTCCGTTCACCAGTTGTTGGCTCTCCTGCATCAGCTATGTCATTATTCCCTCTGGAAGTGCCTGACACTTCCCCACCATCTGCGCTGTGTGCAGACATATTTTCTGCTATACTAACTAACTGAGATACAAAGGACACAAGACATTTTCTCTTGTAAATCTGGTAGCCACTTTGTTCCACTTCGACTCAAAGACTTAGTGACGGATCCTGGAATGCTAAGCCTTTATTATCTATTTATAGTACAGCGTAACCTTGTGCTTTACAAAGTAGTACTAACCCTATAAAATACAACAGTGGCATACATAGTGCTCAGCACAGGAGGGTGACTATACAGTGCAGACTGCACTTGCAGCTGATCGACTGGGGCGGCTTATTCCGACGTCCGTTTTGTTCTGACCTCCTAAGGTCTCAGCGGGTCACGGGCTACGAGCGTCACACAGGAGCACATCGGACACTGATCTGTTCTACGCAGGTCTGGCTAAAGCTTAACTTCAGCCTCTCTGCATGCTCAAACTCATCTCTCACTCGCTTCTCACTTGCTTACGTTCTTTTTGCATTTTACCTTCTTATCTCTTAGCCGAAGTGAAAGAAAGTTAGACAAAACTATTTAGAATTCAAGGATTATTTAGTTGGACTACTTTTTCAACATTTCAAATATTTTGATAAGACTTCAGAGAAGAACACGTCAGCGCAAAATGCCTCCCTTCACCCTACAGGACATGGACAAGCTTCTGCAGAAGATGCCTGTCATAAAAATTAAGATTAACCGACTGGAATTCCATGTGGAAGTAAATGCTGGTTAATGGAGGTGATATGGGCCTTCCAGTGCCCAACCTGCCGGTGTCTCAAAACACAGAGAAAACCCCACTAGTGGTTTTAAACAGCGTGCCACCGGAAACAAAACTAGCCAATGGAAACTGAGAAACAAGGTGTTGCTTCTAATGAGAATAACCAGACTGGGAGCCCCCCCGCTGGGAAACACTTGGAGGAAAGCCAAAGAACAAACAATCGAATCAAGATCTCAAAAACCGTCTGACAGGACGAACGCCATAGTTAGATAACAAAACCTGACCAAGAGTTAGGAGAGACATATCTTCCACAGGCAAGTATCAACAGATGCAAAAAGCTGTTTGCATCTGATTTTTGGCCCTACAAGAAACTGATGTTGAAGAGGATGGCCTCTTCCCAGACAACAGTAAACAGTGTGACATTTAGCCCTCTCCCTAAAAAGCTTCATAACGAACGAGCTGCTAAGCCAAGAACGTTAATAGTAACTGATGATGCTGTGAAGGAGATTAAAACGCTTCTTCAACAAGAACAACACAGATGTAGTGAATGTTTGCTGTGCAACTCTTTCCGAAATCTCGAAGAGGATCACAAGGATTAAAGAATTAAACCCAACCTTGAAGAACATAATCACTCAAATCGGAGCACTTAGTGATGTTGATCAGAGCAAGTCAGAAATATTAAAGGCGGATGTGATTAGTCTACTTAACACTGCGGAAAAGACCCACTTTAAAGTTTTCATTAGTGGCCAGATCACACCACCTTGAGCAGGAGAGGCTGGACCCAAACTGGATCTAAAGAGCCTGCTCGGCAAAATCGATTGGTTTTTTTGTTGACAACTTTAATATCTTCTGGGAAAAGCAACACCTCTTCAAGAGACATTTTCTATTCCCTGAATAAAGTACAGTAGCAACCATTCAAAATAACCCTTTCCAGTCAAATGGCAGCCCACTTCCTTCCAACTCCCGGCAAAATCCCTTCCAAATTCCAGCCACTGGAGTGACCCCCCTCTTGTATAATTTTTTACTCTGAATCCACCCTTTCACTGAATTACAGGGTCTGTCCAGGAGATGACACTTCTCTTTAGACCTTAATGTCCACAAATAATGAGAGAAAGAATATTTTAGTATAAATATTGATCTTTAAAAAGGAGTTGTAGGGCACCAGTCAAGGACCAGCCAAGGACCCATCAAGGAAAGTGGGACATTATTGAATGGCTACTACTGTAGACCTTTTTTTAAGGAGAGCCTGATCACCATAAGTGATGTAATGGTGCAGCAACTCTGATACTGGGGATAAAAAAATCAACTAATATTTAATCAACAGTGATTGCAGATGTCTGAAAAGGTCAGAGCTGACGCTGATGCCAGCGCCAGGCAGAGCAGGCTGGGTCTCCAAAAGAGTGTGGGTGTCTTTGCAGGATGTTTGCATTTTCTTATCATATATGCTTCAACTCTCTTTGGCTACTTTGGCTTCCTTCCACAGCCCAAACACATCAGTGTTGCTCAACTGGACTCTGAGGTTGCTCTTACATGTGTTTGTGGAGTTTTTGGAGATGTTACTGCAGACACATTTCACTCTATTCAATATGCAATAGGCAGATATGAATGAAGTTAACACATTCATTGTTTGGGTTAAAAGGTTAATCAAGAAAATTTTACATAGGTTTTGTGTTCACTTTACTTTTTTATTCCACACTGTAAAGTTTTCCTTCACAGATTTAGGATGACTGAGACCAGACTTTGGTGAAAAAACATCAGAAAAAGAGCTGATGTTGAAATTGAATTTTCAATTGGAGTTAAAATGAAGTCAGAGGAACTGCATTGGCCTAACAGCAGAGTGAAGGAGGATGTTTCTCTACGCAGTGAAGCAGTTTTACTTCATATTCTGTTTAACGTGAGATAAACACAAATGCAGGCTCTATCAGCTTGCTAAGCTCCACAATGACATATGTGCTAAATTTGCCTATGCAGCATAGTTTCCAACGCCCACAGTGGTGACTGTGGTAAATGGAACAATGTACCAGGTTTAGCAGAGGGTGCTGCTAAGTCAAGCTGTGTTTTCTTATTAGTTTGGAAATCGTTTGTGTGAAGGTTAAGAAACCAGGAGGAGCTTCATGCTCACAGCTCCTTTACTGCAGGTCAGCATTTCCCAAATTGATCTGTGTCATTGCTACATCTATAGATGTTCAGCTCATTACAGGCCATGATCTATAAATCCATCCTCTGTGGTCAATAAATCGAGTTGCATTAGTGTGAAATGTTGAATCATACTAAAAGTTAAGTGTACGAGGCGTGTTCAATAAGTAATGCCCCTGATCCACTTTTAGTTGTTTGATTTAGCTGAAATTTTGCAATTCCAATTATTCATATCTCTATAGATTAGATGGCAAATTACAGCTCTGAACTAATTGTGGTTTCTGATTTACAGGTGTTTGAACTGAATGAAGCCTGGTGAGTGTCGAGCAGTAATACAAATCGCTGTACGCTTTTATAGTTGAGGGGCAATGACCAACATATCAAGCGGAAATGCAGAAAAAGAAGAGAAGAATCAGTTGATGTCCCACTTCCCAAATGGCTGATGATGAAGATTCTAAGCCATCCAGGTCTGGCCCAAACACATACTCTATGGCGAAACTCAAGGAGCTCAAGAACTAATCCAATGTTAACTACCTACATGATGCATGCAGGATATATAGCCCTTCCTTGTCATGCACATCCTTGTGACGGTTGGCATATGGTGTAATTTTCTATTTCTTCAAACTGTAAAATCCTTGCAACAAACTAAATTATGATAAAATTCAAATGCTTTCTTTAAAACAAACTACGATGTTCCTCCTATATTTGGCAAATTTATGTTTGATATTTCACAAAAATATGTTGCGGTGCATGATGGGGTTTTGCACCTAAAGGCTAACGTTTCCCGTCTTACGTGTATTGTTTGGATGTTTCCCAATCTGTCAGTGTAGGATGACCGTCTATGGTAAAAAGTTTTTTTCTTTAGCCTTATGGCTTAGGAGATCCATAAACTTTGGTTCAAACTGGGTGAGATTTCATATATCCAGGCAGTTTATAAACATTTTCTGGGCTGGAAAACATGTGAGTTACTGACATCTGGCAACCCTGCTGATGAGTGAGACATTATGCAGCAGCAGTCACCGATCTTTCCTCCAGCATCACACGAATGCGTTTTTACTGGCTTTTAAAGCCAAACCAAAGCCAAACTGACAAGATAGAGAAGAGCAGGAGCGGGGGTTAAGCCAGGCATACACTGTATGATTTTTTGCCCTTTTCGGACCGATTCTCCAGTCAAGCAAGAATCTTTTGATCGGGCCAACCTCCAGCGTGCTCATGCGTCATGTAGTATACAGTACAGGGTGTTACGAGGGACCACCTCCTGATCAAGAATCGTAAGATCTGGAGAAAATTACACATGAAATTCAGTCTGCCGTCGTAAGGTGGTCATTGGAAAATTGCTCACTGAGCAAACAAGGATTCTTTTTCTTCTTCCTCTCAGAGGAAAACACAGAAGCATTGTGGGGATTTAATGAGTGAAATTGAGTTTTTGCTTTAAAACTGACAGACCGTAGTAGCCACGTTTGCTCAGCCATGTCTTTGTCCAAATACGTTGTCGCCTTTTCTTTTTAGGGCATTCAGTACAAAATTTCACAAACTGCCAAGGCTCTATTGAGCTTCATATTATAAGTGTTCTCATGGCATTTAAGTAAAATGTAAACAAAGTTTATGGGGCCCCAAGGAACTCTGGGCCCTAGGCAACTGCCTAGTATTGCCTTATGGTAAATCCCCCGCTGCCCATAGTCACACAGCGCTTCCCACCAAGCAAAAAATGGTTGAAAAGATGACATCATTTATATCCAAATCACGTCTACATTGGGTTGAAAAGTAAAAGGTGAAACGCCATACTTTTCAAGTATTTGAAATTGAGATTCTTTTCAACATCTGTTATTGGACTTAACTTTGACAAAATCAGTCCGACCAGACACAGACCAATTTTCAACAATGATTTTTGGACTAAATCAAGACTATGATGGAGTGACCAGACTTAGCCTAAAAACCAATGTCTAAATTATGTCTGGTGTTAGGGGGTTCAGGGCGGGAAGCAGGCATGACCGCTAAAATGGTTCAATTTCAAAGCCTCTTTTTCTCTTTTCTTGTTCATGAAAGGCTTTAAGATATTTGTAAGGCTGTGAGTGCATGCAGGAAGCGTGTTACTGGCACTCACCAGAAGTACCATAACCTCTGAATGGACAAGGCCCTCACACAACAGCGGGTTCCACAGCAGTCCTCGTAGGAGCGACATCTACAACACATGACAAAAAGGACAGAATATAAGCACCTGCAGGATGACAGACAAGGTTTGTTCAGTTCCAACATACTTCATTAATCTAAAGGGAAAATGAAACATTCTAATTCAAACTATTTAATAATTATTTATACAAGCTTCTTTAGAGTCTCTAAAGATATTAACGATGGTGAGCAGGATGCATCACCTTGGCAGTCTGCATTAATGCTGCATTCCAGTGGCAGCCGGCCCATAGGGGGCGCTGGGGCACCGCCCTCCCTGATAAGAAGAGAGAAACGTAAAATATATTTTTAGAAATTAACTCATAAATGTCAGTTTTACTCTCTAGCGTGTGTACCTATAAGCAAAACAAATTATATATAATTTATATTAAATCAGTCATACATGTCTTAATCTATGCTCGGTAAGACAATGATGTTTGAAAAAGGAGGCAGGGAAAGCAGAATAACGATTTATTGATTAGGCTTCACAATGTGTGCCATTGAAAAGTTTGGACAACTCTGATACTGTAGCTTCATCTGATCTGCTACTGTTTGGCTTTGATGCCATCCTGAAGAGGAGTGTTGGCTGTGCTGCTGCCATCAACAGTTTGAGCTCTGCCTATTTTTCAGTGTAGTCCTGTTTCTCTAACTGTGACTAACTGGATGTACACTTTTCGTCCTCTGTGGGGGCTGGCTCGGGTCTTGTCTGCTTGGCTGTGTGTTTCCTGGATAGGGCAGCCTGTAGAGCTGGTTGACAAGTTCCTTTTGCATCTCTGCTTATTTCTGTATATTTATGTTTCTGTCTCCATAAACTCCAGTCGGCCTCTGCAAATTGCTGCTCACACTGAGCCTGGCTCCCCTGGAGATTTCTTCCTGTTCAAAGAGAGTTTTTCCTCTCCACTGTTGCTACAAGCATGCTTGGTGTGAGGGATTGCCTTTGAATCAATAAGTTGATGCAATCAACTGGTTTTCCTTAGACAGAAAATTTTTAATTAGTTTGATTGTATGGTCCGGTTGAATTGTAACTGTTAAGAGATGATATGTGTTGTGAACTGGCGCTATAGAAATAAACTGAATTGAATCATTTAATTTAAAAAAAAACGACACATTAACCTGAAACATTGACATATTTTATCAGGTTTTGCCTCTGATGTGAAGATTATTATTTTTGTACCTGTCCTTGAAGCTTAAGAGGAAGATGTTAAAGGCTTTGTGGAGGACAGGAGGAAGAGAGGCAGAGCTAAGAGGGAGGAAATAGTTCTTACTAAAATAATCTCTGTTCAATGGGGCTCTTTGTGTCTCAGAGCGCTGGCTGCGTCCTGCATTAGGGAACATCTGTGAATTGATAAAGGCTGGAACTGTGGGGAAAGCCTGCAGACTCCCCACATCTATAAAACAAACTAACAGAACCACAGCTTTCAGTTTCCAAATAGCAGTAAATCAAACCAAATAAATTTTTTTCTAAGCTTGGTCACCAAAGGAAAGCGTCCATGCGTTTCTAAACCCCATATTTACTGGTTTAAAGAGGAATTCTGGGTTAGAGGCCACATGAAATACTTTATAATCTTCCTTAGTGATTAAAATCAATAAGTGAGAGTTGCCACATATATTCATTATACACTGAGTGGTGTATTCAAAGCTCCTGTTTGTGAATCTGGGTGAGGAATGCTTCCACTGATCATCAAATTCCCAAAGTTGTTATTAGGAAATCAAATTTACTAAATGGGAAAATCATTTAATTTCAGTTTTTTTCAAGAAGAGGTTTTTTGCTCTAGGATGGGATGAATATGGACATAAATTATTTTAATGACTTATCACCTAAACAGACACCCTGTCTATTTTTAAGGGTAGGCTTAAAACGTTCCTTTTCGATAAAGCCTATAGTTAGAGTGGCTCAGGTTATCCTGAGCTATCTCTATAGTCATGCTGCTATAGGCTTAGACTTCTGGAGGACATGGGGACCGCATTTCATCATTCTGCTTCATTCTATCTCTATTCTCCCACTCTGCAGAATCTGTTTGTTCAATCTCTGACGTTCTGCTCTCTGTACTTTTTCTCATAGTAGCTTCATCTGGTCTGTTCCTGTTTGGCTGTGACTCCATCCTGAAGAGAAATATCAGCTGTGCTGCTGCCATCAACACTTTTGTTTATAGATGTTTGAGATCGGCCTGTTTTTCAGTGTAGTCCTGTTTCTCTGACTGTGACTAACTGGATGTGCTCTCTTCATCCTCTGACATGGGAGCTGGCTCAGAGCTTATCTGCCTGGCTGTGTGTTTCCTGGACGGGGCCACCTTTTACAGCTGCTTTTGTAACTCTGCTTCTCTCTCCTTGAACCCCAGTTGGCCTCGGCAACTGGCCGCTTACACAGAGCCTGGTTCTGCTGGAGGTTTCTTCCTGTACAAAGGGAGTTTTTCCTCTCCACTGTCACTACAACCATGATTAGTGTGAGGGATTGCATTCAAGTCAATGAGTTGATGCAATCAACTGGTTTTCCTTAGATAGAAAACTTTGAATCAATTTGATCTGGTGAACTGTAAAGTGCCTTGAGATGACATGTGTTTTGAATTGGCGTAACATAAATAAACTGAATTGAACAACCTTCTTCAGGTGCATTTTTTATTCCATATCTTATTTAAAGCACCACTGCATAGTTTTTGTAAGTATTAGCGTCATTAGAGATTTATCAGACAATTTTTGGGTCAAGATTAAGCAGTTCTGTTGCTGCTCCTTGAAGGCTACTTTTCTATATAATTCGCCATTGTAACATGCTCCATTTAAAAGCACTCTGATATGTAATGGAAATGTAGCTAATGTACATTTTTTCCTGCTCTGCTAGGGGCAGTTGTTATTAAATCGGTTCCACACAACCTGATATTTCTCTGCGCTAAAACTGCTCGTTCTATTAGTGAGGGAGCTTCACCTTACCCTTACTAATGACAGAGAGGGTTTGCCAAAGATTTCATACCTCTGCTGCTTAATCCATGAATGTATTTTGACCACTAATGCGACACTTTTTAAGGAGAAATAATTAGTAGTAAAGGTTTAGCACCAAGACGAATTACTACAGGAATCCAGCAGGAAATCATCCGACATATTTTACGTACTTACTGTAAGATGTATTATGATTTTCTTAAGAGATCTGACCCACATGCAGTAAACCACTCAGATAACCAGTGTAAAAGTTTGAACAGCTTTTTTGATAAGGAGAACAGGGGTTGGATTCAGGAAACTTAATGTGCTGATGACCCAGAACTGGAAGAGGGAAGGGATAGGACTTCCTAAAAGCGCGCGCATGCGAGTTCACGAGTCTACGGAATCCGCGGCAGACCAAACCAGATGAAAGTGCGCATTAAGCTCGGCAAAGAACTCACGCTCTTCCTCAACAATGAAGTCCTCAGACATTCTTTCGTTGTTTCTTTCTTTGCACAGGTAAACAGCACATTTCTTCTTCTACGCTTGCATTATCGGCAGAGCAGACGCTGAATGCACACTTTAATCTGGTTTGGTCTGCCGCGGTTTCCGTAGACTCGTGAACTCGCATGCGCAAGCTTTTAGGAAGTCCTATATACTACTGTTTATGCTCTAAAAACATTCTACATGACTTCGTTTCGAGTAAATTATGGACGCTACCCAATCAGGACACTTGGAATACATTGGACGAGCAGTATGGAGGAATATTGACACGTTTTTTGTGGACTTTTATGGACCTTTCTGCCTAGGGCGCCATAGACCTCATTATTTGAATGTCAGCAGACAGCAAGAAGCCTCTCAGATCTTCAGATGCATTTGAGATATCAAAAAAGTACTCCAGAGTGTTGTTCAGCATGGGGGTGAGTAGAAAATGAAGGCTAATCATGTTTTGGGTGTACTATTCCTTTAAGACTTGGTTGGATCCTGAGGAACTATTGAGCGGACTGTCACTTGGGAATCCTGGAGGACTTGAACGGTACTTGTCGAGGTTAATCCCCTGCTCAGTGTGAGACTCAAACAATCCTTCCAGGGGAAGAAGGCTAAACATCCAGCTAAACACTCTGGCGTCGAGGTAGTGACAGTCCACCGCTCAAATCAGTCGGTCTCGGCAGATGGCCGCTCACACTGAGCCTGGTTCTGCTGGAGGTTTCTTCCTGTTAAAAGGGAGTTTTTCCTCTCCACTGTCGCTACAAGCATGCTTAGTGTGAGGGATTGTATTTGAGTCAATGAGTCAATGCAATCAACTGGTTTTCCTTAGATAGAAAACTTTGTATCAATTTGACTGTATGATCTGGTTGAACTGTAAAGTGCCTTGAGATGACATGTGTTGTGAATTTGGCGCTATATAAATAAACTGAATTGAATTTAATTGAAATAGTCTTCAGTAATGAGCCAACTAGCTGCAGGTGTATGGGAGGACCAACGAGAACAGGGCACCACCTGTTGGTGGAGGGAGAGAACACAACCCACGCAAACTGGTTTTCTAACAAGATGTCATCATTAAAACAACTAAAAGTGCAATGAGTTATAGCATATAGTGATTATATAATAGTGCCTGAAAATGTTTGATATAACTTAGAAGATAAAATATATTCAATGAACATAGCTATGTTGCTATAGTGTTAGAGTGATGGAGTACATTGGGACCCCTTTTCATCACACCACAGGCTCTCATATAGTTATGGAGTTAAGGCATTTACCCAACTTTTTTTCCGCCTGCTCGACTGCTTGTCATGGCTGAGGCAAGGATAAAGATTAAACCTTCTGAGGAGGATAAAAAGAGCAAACCTGAAAGAAATCGTGCCTGAGGAAAAGCAAGAGTCGATCCTGGAAAAGAGTTTATCCGCTGGCGCAGCCTAAAACAATACACACGATTTAAAAACGATTGTCTTTTTATTTTTAGACTAGTGAATTAACACTTTGCTCCTAGTACACAGTCAAATCTTTGTTATTATTTTTCAATGTTTGGATGCCTCTGTGTTTTCTGTGCTGGCGCAGTCTTTTTTTTCTCCTGTTAGCCATACATGATTATTCGTCTCCGAATCCAGTTTTGGCGCACCTTACACCCGTCACAGATCTCTGCCAAGCTGATCAGCCTCTGGTCTGCTCCGCAGCCTCTCAGAGATTCAAACCATCGTACCAGCTATTGATCAGTGTGACCCCCAGCCTTTTTTGTTTTAATAAACGATCTTAAATCTGCCCTAGCTGTCTTCTTGGTGTGTTCTGCATGTGGGTCAAAAAACAAGGGACCATGACAGATATTAAGTAAAAGCTAAACATGAGGGAAGCGTTAAATGTTTGGAATGAAAGTTTCAGAGTTTTGGTAGGAAAAAGGACCAAACTGTATGATCTGGTGAACTCTAAAGTGCCTTGAGATGACATGTGCTGGCGCTATATAAATAAACTGAATTGAATTGAACTTACACAAAATATGCAGGATATCTTTCTTCAAAATACCAGCAGAACTTCTTGGCTTCTACACTCTGTAAAAGAAGAGAAGGATATCAATCTGGGTAAACTAATATGATTGATATAAACTGAAAAAGTAAAAAAACGTGCATTAGAAAAACAACAGAGGTGCTAAATATTTGACTGTGTGTAAAATAAACTCCATAGAGGTCTTTCAATTTTGAATCTCATTAGAGTGGACCCAGGGACAAAGCTCCAAAGAGAGAGATGATGTTTCCCACTGGTTCTCTCAACTTACTAATAACCTTACAAATAACCTGCTTTTCTTCCGGGCCAAAGTAAGAAATATAGAGGAGCAATCCTTTAGAGGTGGATGAGCTCCATCCTGGTTAACAAACAGCCTCTGGATGTTGTTGGGCTAGCGTGTCTGCAACCCTTCTTCAGAATTGGTGCCCCTGGAGTGGCACACCAGGGTGGTGGTTCTCCTTGACAAAAAAGTGGATAAACATTCTTCATCTGGGGTTCATTTCACGGAGCAGGTGCTAGAAATTCAAAGTCAAATCCACAACTCTAAATTAATCTAGCCTAAAGTCGAGAACTCTGAGTTTTTAGTTTCAAGACAGCTGCTATGAATTAGTTAGGTCAAATCTAAGTAGATCCACTCAGAGTTAAGCATGTGCATGACAAGTTTAAAAAGCCATTATCAGCGGACGAGTCAACATGACAACAGGCCAAAGGAAGTGCCTATTTCCCCCCCACTGGAACTAGAGATTTTAATGCGGGAATTAAAAAAATAAAAAAAAGAATGTGTTTAAAAGACAGAGAAACAGCACTAACGCTGCAAAGGAGAGGAAGACGAAGGAGGAGATCATGGCTTGAGCTAATGCATAGGTTTGTATGAATCTCTATGGCAGGCCTTTTTATATTACTAAAAGCACTCTCCTCTATTGCTGCATTTTGTAGATCACTAAAATAAGATTTTTCCTAATAAAAAAATCACACTCCTAGACTGAAGTGTAATATATTTTCTAAATTACAATTTTGCTGCAGAAACTACATTTCTGAAAATAAATACTAATAACAGTGAGGTGTTATATTCCTAGAAATGTTTTGTCAGGTTTGAGCACCTAAAACATCATACATACAGGGAAAGAAAGAAGGCACAGAGACAATTAATTTAGTTTCACTCACATAGAGAGAGGAAGAGACTGCAGAGTTTACAATTCTCCAACCCCCTCTGCAGTCCCAGCGTTCTCCTCACTATTTATTGAAATCAGGGGTCCCTGGTAACAACAGCTGAGACTACTTTAGTGACTATAGACAACATTAAGGATCTAGAATTGCAGTCTCAGTAAATATCTTATAAATATCAGGGTTCAGTCAAAATTTAAGCAGTTGAACCTGTTCACCAAAGTTCAGCAGGTCGAGTGCTGCTCGTAAAACAACCACAACCTCCTCAAAAACAAATCTACATACTTCAGAAAAGATGGCTATAAACACATGCACATAGCACACAGCTTTATGCATGATAACACTAAACAGATACATTTATATACAATTATTACAACATGTTTACACATCTTAAGTGGCTTTACTGACATTTATCACCTTGACTCAGACATTTTTTATGAAATAAATTTCTTTTTAGTCAAAAAAAAGAGATGCTGACCACTAACAATAGTAATATGGAGATCTGATATTAATTTCTAGACATTCAGAATGTTTATTCTAGATGTGAAGAATACCATTTTGTTTAAAATGGTAATTTTGACAAGGGAAAAATGTTTTTCAGACATCAGGGATAAATGGTCAGTAAAACTAATACTTATCAATACGGCTTGCCATTAATAGATGTGACCACAATAACGTTACAAGTTTATTTCTTGAATGTTAGTGTCATGATTGGGTTTAAGGACTTAGCCCACATGCAGAACACAATGGAGTCTGAAGGAAAGTTTAACAAGGTTTATTGAAAGATGTACAATGATATAATACTGGATCTGGTTCTGGTACTGGTACGGGACTGGTCTCAGAGTTTCTGGAGAGATGAGAGTTTGGTTAGCCAGGCTGATGATGGATTGATGGAGAGAAGAACTGGTAGAGGGTGTAACAGACCAGAGGGTGGTTGATGGGAGGTCTTGTTTCTTGCACAGACGGGACAGGCCAGCACGTACTCCTTCACATCTTTATGAAGGGACGGCAACCAAAACAGACATGTGACGAGAGCAATGGTACGACTAACACCAGGATGGGCTGAGAACTTGGACGTGTGTAACTACTGGATGAGACGGGATCTGACTGCAGAAGGAACATATGTCTTGTTAGGTGGGCCGTTACCTGGGTCGGGTTCAGAGGCCAGGGCTGAGTTGATGAGATCAGAGATGTCCCAGGTAACGGCTCCAACTGTACACGAGGATGGGAGAACGGGCTCGGGTGTTTCAGGTCGATCAGGGGAGTACAGACGAGAGAGTCAGGCTTGATATTCTTGGAACCGGGTCTGTAAGAGATGATGAGATTGAATCTAGAGAAAAACAGAGACCATCTGGAGTGATGAGGATTGGATCCTTTAGCTGATTGGAGGTATGTCAGGTTCTTATGATCTGTCCAGACCAATATTGGGTGCTCGGCTCCCTCGAGCCAATGTCGCCATTCCTCAAGAGCGAGTTTTATGGCAAGCAGTTCTCTGTCCCCGACGTCATAATTTTGTTCAGCGGGTGAGAGCCTGCGAGAAAAAAAATGCACAGGGGTGAGTTTTGTGGTCAGAATCGGACTGCTGGGACAAAACAGCTCCTACACCGGAATCAGATGCATCCACCTCAAGGATGAACTGCTTCGTAGGATCAGGCTGGACCAAGATGGGGGCACTGGAAAAGAGTTTCTTGAGTTTATTAAAGGCAGAATCAGCCTCAGGTGTCCATTGGAAGGTTTTCTTAACAGAAGTCAGAGCGGTAAGTGGTAGAGCAGTTTGGCTGTAATTTCTGATGAAACGCCTGTAGAAATGAGCAAAACCAAGGAACCTTTGAAGCTGCTTACGGTTTTCGGGGATTGGCCAATCCAGGACTGCCTTTATTTTCTCCTCAGATGGCTTCACCTGCCCGCCTTGAAGCACAAACCCAAGGAATGTAACTGATGGTTGATGGAATTCACATTTCTCCGCCTTGACGAAGAGCTTGTTTTTAAGCAACCTCTGAAGGACCAGACGAACGTGTTTCTTGTGGTCAGAGAGGTTCCTAGAATAGATCAGAATGTCATCGATGTATACGAACACAAAAACGTTTAGAAAATCTCTGAGGACGTCATTGACTAGAACTTGAAAAAAGGCAGGGGCGTTAGTTAGCCCAAAAGGCATGACCAAATATTCAAACTGGCCGATTGGTGTCTTAAAGACAGTTTTCCATTCATCTCCTTCCCTTATTCTAAGAAGATGATAGGCGTTTCTTAAATCAAGCTTGGTGAACACAGTAGCTCCTTGCACTGGGTCTAGAGCTGATGCCAGTAGAGGAAGTGGGTATTTATTTTTAATGGTTATCTGATTCAATCCCCTGTAATCAATACAGGGTCAAAAGGAACCATCCTTTTTACCCACAAAAGAAAAACCAGCGCAGAGAGGGGATGTAGATGGTCTGATAATTCCAGCAGCTAAGGACTCATTAATATAATTCTCCATCGGTTCACATTCTGTTTTGGAGATGTTAAATAGCCTGCTGCTGGGAAGAGGAGCTCCAGGTAATAAGTCTATGGCACAATCATAAGGTCTATGAGGAGGTAGAGACATAGCACTGACCTTACTGAAGACTGGAGTCAGGTCATGATACTCAAGAGGAACAGTGGAAAGGTCAGGAGAGTCCAACTTCCCCCCACCTCTAGGGGGCTGTCTAGTGGGAGCAGCAGAACCAAGACATGACTCGTGACAGGAAGTAGACCATGACTCAATGTGGCGGTCAACCCAGTTAATATGGGGGTTGTGACGTATTAACCACTCGAATCCAAGCACCAGGGGAGAACAAGCAGAGGGAAAAACAAAAAAAATCAGAGTCTCACGATGATTACCAGAAATGAGGAGCTCCAAAGGTTGAGTCTGAAGAGTGACTTGTTGCAGCCGTTTCCCATTGATAGCTGCAACCCTGAGGGGCTTCTGCAAAGGAACAGTCTCAATCCCCAATTGCTGAACCAGATTTGAATCAAAAAGTCTGTTATCCAATCTTATTGATAATCGGATTAAATCCTCCAAGCTAGAAGGCTCGTCAATTGTGGCGAGTTCATCTTTAATGTTTTCGTTAAGAGCCTTGAAAAAAGCACTCTTTAGTGCACAATCAATTGTTTGATCTGAATCCTGGTTGAAAACCTGAGAAAATTCATTCAAAAATTCAGAATATGTGCATGAAAAACTGGTTTCATCAGAAAATCTGGCTTCCGCCCATTCAAGAGCTCGGCCTGAGAGTTGAGAAAGAATGAAAGAGATCTTCCTTCTATCGGTAGAAAAACTGGCAGGAGACCCTTCAAAGAGTTAACGACATTGAAACAAAAAAACCTTACATTTTGACTGATTTCCGGAAAATCGTTCAGGTAAACTAGGACGGAGTTCAGGAAGTGACGTCGTTACCTGGTGGTTCAGGAACAGGAAGTACAACTGGTGCGGTGTTAGCAGTTCTCTCATAGCCAGCGTATCTTTGTATAACTTGATTCTGATGTTCAACAAAAGCATTTAACTCACGGAGGGTCTGGGCTTGCCCTTCGATCCATGCTTCTTGAGCTGTAAGCCTCCTGCGGAGGTGTTCCGCTGGGTCTTGTTGATGGCCGGAGTGTTCTGTCATGATTGGGTTTAAGGACTTAGCCCACATGCAGAACACAACGGAGTCTGAAGGAAAGTTTAACAAGGTTTATTGAAAGATGTACAATGATATAATACTGGATCTGGTTCTGGTACTGGTCCGGGACTGGTCTCAGAGTTTCTGGAGAGATGAGAGTTTGGTTAGCCAGACTGATGATGGATTGATGGAGAGAAGAATCAAGGTGTACCTTGAGGAGATTGTAACAGAGCCGTGAGGTGAGATACCGTAGGTCCAGAGTCAATGATGTGGCAGAGAGTTTAAGCAGCAGCAGCGTCTAGTTCCGAGCTAGAAGGTTTCTGGCTTGGGTTTGTTCCTTGCTCTATCCAAGAGCTGAAGAAGGAATCCAAACTGAGATCTTCAGGTTTGGCTTTCATGAGCAGGCAGGCAGGTTTCTAGGTGGAGCTCATCCAGAGCTTCTTCAGGGTTTCCAAACTAGGTCAACACTCCGGCGTCGAAGGAAGGTCTGGCAGCTGCTTAAGTAGTGTGGACCTCTGATGAGCTGATGATCTCCAGGTGTGTAGAGGAATCAGCTCAGGAGGCCCACAGCGCTCTCTGCTGGAGATCAGGTGGCAGATCTCTGGATCCTGACAGTTAGTAGATCAATGTATCTATTTAGCTTAAATCACCTGGAGAGGTTATTGGTCACATAGAAAGGCTTCAGATTGTGCCAGTAGGCTCAATAGGTTATTACTGAGTGAATCCTATTCCTAAAATGGTTCCTTTTTTTCCCCTTCGGAATTTATTAATGTATAATAAGTAGTTCTTTATGTTCTGTGAAAATAAATGAATAAAAATGAAATGATCCGCATGTCCCTCAAAGTAAACAAACCAAAAACAAATAAATCTCATGTCCTGTCAATTGTGTAGTAGAATCCTCTGCCTATAAATATTTAATTCTCAGTGAAAAAATTATGATTATTCTTTAATGAGATCCTCATCAAATGGAAATGCAATATTTGTTTTTAAAACCTAATGTGTCTTAATGGAGGAAAAAACATAGGTACTCTGGGATGAGGGGAGGTTAACAGAGGTCAACTCAAAAACACATTTGCAGTCTTCAAAAAACAATTCTTGCTTATCCCAGAAAAGCTTAACAAAACCCACAATTCAATAAGGTGTAGAGGCACCTTTATCGATTGACTGAAACTAGTGTGGATATCCCAAAAAAAAACAAAAAACAATCCACCGGACTTTGTTTTCAAGTTTAAAGACGTTTCTCTCCCCATCCAGGAAGCCTTTTTTAATTCAAAATGTCACGAATAGTGTTAGCTTCCAGGCTTTATACAGTAGTCCAACAAAGCCTTGTTTTTTTTTGTTTTTTTTAGAAAACATGCAAATTGAAATGGATGAATGGATCCACCCCTTTATAATAGGGGTGGATATATATACATAGTTATGTATATATATATATTTATATATATATATATATATATATATATATATATATATATATATATATATATATATATATATATATATATATATATAACTTCTTTTCTCAGAGACCTCTGATGTTTTACCTGGAATCTGCTGTAGCCACTCTCCCAGTTTGGGGGTCACAGCCCCCAGTGCTCCAATTACCACTGGCACCACTGCTGCTCTTACTTTCCACATCTTTTCTAGCTCCTCCTTCAGTCCTTGGTATTTCTCAAGCTTCTCGTGTTCTTTCTTCTTGATGTGCTGTCGCTTGGGATTGCCACATCTATCACTGCTGCCTTCTTCTGCTGTTTGTCGATCAACACAATGTCTTGTTGGTTAGCCATCACCTGTTTGTCAGTCTGGATCTTGAAGTCCCATAGGATCTTAGCTCGGTCATTCTCAACTACCTAAGGAGGTGTCTTTCATTTGACCTTAGGACTTCCAGCCCATACTCATGGCAGATGTTCCTGTACACTATGACAGCTACCTGGTGGTGGCGTTCCATGTATGCACTTCCTGCCTGCATTTTACACCCTGCTGTTATGTGCTGTATTTTTTCAGAGGCATCTTTGCACAGTCTGCATCGGGGGTCCTGCCTAGTGTTTTAGACCCAGGCCTCTATTGATCTTGTACTGAGTGCCTGTTCTTGTGCTGCCATGATTAGTGCCTCTGTGCTGTCCTTCAGTCCAGCCTTTTCCAGCCACTGGTAGGATTTTTTGATATCAGCCACTTCTATTTGTATGTGGTACTCGCCGTGCAGCGGCTTGTCCCTCCATGATGGTTCCCCTTCCTCTTTCTTGTCCTCACTTTCGGTTTTCTCCTGTGTGAGGTAGTCGCCAAGCCATTTGTCTTTGGGGGCCATCTTCCTGATGTACTCCTGGATCTTAGTTGTTTCATCCTGGACAGTGGTCTAGACACTCACTAGCCCTCGGCCTCCCTGGTATACAGTCTTAGGGTGATGGATTTGGGGTGTAATCCTCCATGCATTATGAGGAGCTTTCTCGTCTTGATGTCAGTAGCCTCTATCTCCTCCTTTGGCCAGTTTATTATACCAGCGGGGTATCTGATAACTGGCAGGGCATATGTGTTGATGGCTTGGATCTTGTTTTTCCCATTCAGCTGACTTTTCAGGACCTGTCTTACTCTTTGTAGGTATTTAGCTGTGGCAGTCTTTCTTGCTATCTCCTTGTGGTTTCCGTTAGCCTGTGGCACCCGAAGATTTTTGTAGCTGTCCTGAACATTTGTAATGTGGCCTTCTGGTAGTTCAACCCCTTTGGTTCTGTCATTACGCAACCAGAGATTGTGTTTTCCTGCTCCTCTATGGAAGATGTTAGGGGCATTAATAGAGAACTGTAACAGATTGCAGCGACTAGGAGCATTTTTGACATTGGAAAAGCTCTTTGGATTCAAGACTTTCATTTTTTTTCATCCTGCTTACACTCAAATCCTTTCTTTAATCTCTCATCATTCCTCCTTTATGTCTTTTTGATGTCCACTGACCCTCCACAGATGCGTCGTACATCAAAAACCAGAAAGCACACAGAAATCGATTCCGCCCACCCTGTGTATTGAAGTAACAGACTTAACAGAGGTATAACATATGGGGTAAGATTACTGTCAATAAACAAATGTGGGTCTTTAAAGGGCTGGTTATATTACTGTAGCATTGTGTCGCAGTGAGATTGTCACAGTTACGACAGAGATCTATTTGATTTATGCCCAATTTTGAAACGTGGCCTGTGCTATAGTATTCCACGCCACAACACAAGAGGGACAATCAGGAACTATGTGTGGGTCTAGATACAGCCGAGGCGGTGAGGAAGTGGAAAAACCCAAGGGGCAAGTTTGGGCGACAAAGTAGGGACATGAGGGCAAAAAAGAGCGGGGATCCAGATGGAAAAAGGGTCCCAGCGTTCTCGCGCACCTCGCTCTTCTAGTTGGTCGATCTTCACCAGTGGTTTACCACAAAGGCGGTCATACAAACAAAACAAGCCAGTAATGTACCAAACAGGAAGTATGCATAGTGTAGAGCGGATGTAGATTTGACCAATCAGAGGTGCAGCAGAGTGCAGCGGGGGCATATTTGCGTTAACTGCGACACACACGCAGATTACCTGGTTTTTGAGTATAAACCAGCCTTAAGTCTGAGGCAATTATTAGATTTACGATTTTTTTGGGTCCTTGTGCCGTTCTTGTGGATTTAATGCAAACTGAGGCAAACATCTAAAACACAAAAATATTGAGAATCAAAAATCCCGCAAACATCAGCTAAAAGCCAGAGATGAGGAAGCAACTACAAATCAACAAGGAACCAGCACTGAAGAACTGCACAGGGAGAGTACACTCACCAGCCACTTTATTAGGTACCCCATCCTAGTAACGGGTTGGACCCCCTTTTGCCTTCAGAACTGCCTCAGGCAACAGACAGACAATCACCAGGGGAAATGCTGGAATGCTCATGCGTTGTGGCTGGAGACAATCTGACACTGGCAGTTGATCTGCAGAGGGTTTACATGACGTGAAAACAGGTGAAACCAGTAAGGGCTGATTTCAGCAGAGCAGGTGTGATGAATGGTGGATCAGACCAATAACAGAGCCGAGACTGTCACACATTGTGTGCTTTCATAAATGTGTGTAGGTGAAAATGGTTCCATTATAAACAATTTCTTCATAGTAACACAACTCTTTACACTTGTGAGGTTTTATATCACTTCTAACAACTGTGAAAAGGTAATTCATGCTTTTGTCATATCTGGCTATGGTTATGGTGCCTGTTTTTATCTTTTTCTAGTACAATCATCCTTATATCCCTGCATTACGGCATCAGGGCCGTAACTATCATTGAGAACAATGATAGTTACGGCCAACATTAAGGCCTAAATATTTTGCCTAAATTGTGCTATATCAACTCTGAAAATTGTTAGGGTTCCAGTTTGTGGGGGTTGTTTTGTGTTCTCTTTTAGTGTCTCCATCCATCCACTAGATGGTTCCCTCGTTTCTCTGTTCACTTGGAGGGCCATTTCCTGGTGTCAACCACCCACACCTGCGGCTCGTTGGGTCATTACCATCAGAGGAGTATTTGAGCAGCGGACACCCACCACCTCGATGCCAGAGTGTTTGCCAGTATTGGGTAATCTAGCCTCTCTGAGATTAGCTGAGTCTAACCTTTGAGTTTTCTTCTCTCTGAGTCCTCAGTCCTAACCGTGTCTTTTTTTGTCTCTCCGGCAGACTTTTCACCTGATCCTCTGGATAAGCCTGGTCCTTCAAGCCTTGGAAGAAATCAATTCGTCTCACTGAGAAAAAAGAAAACATTCACCTGACCAGTTCACAGAGCTTTTCATGAAAGCTTGTGACAGTCAGCTCCGCCGCTCCTCTGGACCACAATATGTCTGCCTGTCCGCCCTCCAGCAAGTTATCTCCATATCTGGACAACCTCCCCCACAAACAGGAACCAAGGAGCTTCCACAAACTATAACTGTAAGTCCATTTCAGCCATTCTGCTTTGGCTTATTTTCCCATGGACCTTGAACTCACCACTCTGACCTTCCTCTAGAATTTCCGGTTCCGGTTCACCTGACCGCTGGATATTCCCCATGCTGAGAATCCCCTTTGTTTTGTCCATCTGAGTTCCACAGTTTGTCTCTCTGAGTTCCACACCATACAATAAACTGTTTTACTTTAAGCCTGCCCCTGCGTTGTTTCTGCATGAGGGCAAACTTTGAAACCCATCATGACAAAAATAAATTACAATGAAACTGAATGTAGGATGATGATGTTGGTCTCCCACATATCTGAAGAGCCAAGAGTAGCATGACTATCTAATAATAATAATAAAAAAAAAAGGTTTGAAGGTTTTGGCATACATGCTATGGACTGTTAACACATACTGTCGCTATGGTAAGTGCCACATAGGCTAATGATGCCATTAGTGAGTCCGTCCATCAAGGCAGTCACTGGAAGAGGGGCACTGTGAATGCAGATGGAGAGCAGTTTAAGTTGCTGGTGACAGTGAGAAGAAACATCATTTGCATGAGGAAAGATTTAAGCCCAGCGAGCTGCTCAGACAGCAAAGGAACATCGAACCAATTTTGATTTAACTCCGTCGATACCAGCCGTCAGTCAATTTCCAACAGTTGAATCAACAGTCATTAGGAAACTGATATGTTAGCGGCTTCTTTGACTGAAAATAAAACATTTATTGAGAATTGATTTCTCAGTGCTGGATATTGAACTCATAAACCTTATATACATAGACGCCCTGTTGGACGGGGTCTTCCTATGCTGTGGATGAGTCAGAGTACACGTTGAATGTGAAAAATCAGCTGATAGACTCAGACACAGTATCAGCAGGGCTTTAATCTTAGAATATACTTTATATTCTGAATACTTTTCATTTTTGTCTAAATCTAAGTATAAAAGTATATTTTGTATCCCTTTGGCCTCATTCTCATGACTTTATTCTCATAACAAATAAAATTATTAAAAGAATCTAACCAGGAATATATTAGTTCTACTGTGACTTTTCTGGAAATGTTACCCCTTAATTCTCATAACATGATGTTTATTATTACCATTTTTGAGGGTTTTTTTGTTTTTGTTTTTTTTTTACTTTATTGTCCTTGGACTTTTTTTCCTCACATTAGTAATTTTATCTCTAATATATCTAGGGCTGCAACTAACGATTATTTTAAAAATCCATGAATCGGCCGATTATTTTTTCGATTAATCGATTAATCAGACAAA